ATTTGTGCATTGGAAATAATCGAATATCAGATGTGGACAGATCATTTGGTGATTCAAGCGTAGATCTCTCAAAAAGCAATCCTTAGTCTCCGCCCCGGGTGGGGTTGGGGGATATTGTGGGGATCACGTGGTTTCCAGGGGAAACAAAAGCAGGGAGCAGTGATCGCTAACAGAGTATAAAGAGGGTACTATAAAGAATTGTCAGCCCATAAGGGAGACAATTACAGCACTTAAGAGCCCGATAAATTCTATTATGACACAACCAGACTCCTCTGACCCTTTACCCCATTCAAGACGACAAACAATCGAGAGATTTAGCACCGCATTTACGTAAAACGGCAAACGTCAGCTTGTCCTTTTACTTATCATGTATAATAGCGTAAACCTTGCTGTTTTAGCTTCGCATGTGCTCACGCAATAGTGGATTGAAGGCGCGTCTGTATGGCTGACAAAGAATGTTTTTGGTGCCCTTTTTCCGGCATTAAACCTCAGTCTACCCCGTGAGAGAAAAACGGAAGAAAACCTTACGTTCACGACAAACGCGTTAAATAACTCGTTACATCGTTTGTCACATAACTCGTTAGGTATACAAGTTGAAGTTATGATCCCACTGTATAGCAAATACAGACCTACTCATCCAGGAAAAATAATGAAGTTTCTCGGATGACTACACTATGATCTACATAATACCACAGCCAGCAAAAATTTTGGATCAAAGTAAATAGTTTTATGCTTACTTTTGAACGTTTTCGGCTTCTCCTCGACGTTTTCATCTGCCTTATTCGTCATCTTCATGCGACTTTCAACAGCCAAAATGCGCACTTCGTTCATTTCCATTTGCTTGTTGATCGTTTCCATTCTCAAGAACAGCGCAACAATCAGTAGAATTGGAATGATAGAAAGAAACGAAGAGCCTTTGCGAAAAACATTGCTTGAGCATTTTGTGAGAGGTTTCTTTAAACGGTCCATCTTAGCTTCAATGGAATTGGAGTGAACAGCTTTCCTGTTTAATAAACTCAATTGCTGCGAGATAGGACTTGTTTATTTGAGCTGAAAGTTCGGGCTTACTGTGCAACTGATATCATAAAAAACACGTCCAGGCAAGATGTAAAGTAAACTGCTATCAATTGATTTCTCTTTTACCGTGTCAGGAGGGTAAGAGTTCAGAAGCCCGGCCCGACGCCAGAAGGAATCCGTTTTTTAGAATGCGTGTGGTCTCCAAGATGATTAAGTAATGAAGCGTTTTGAAATAAATATCTCTCCTTTGATATTACCCCTCCGGGAGGAGGACCTGGGTATTTGCCAGGTATGTGGCGCTGGCCTCCCAGGACCCCTACCCCATTATAATTTATTTTTTTGTCACTCATAGATCCCATCTTAGCACATTTTGAAACTACGAATCTTCTCATTTCTAAATCTCAAACTACCATAATTTTCTCACCCCCAAGAATCTCTTAAATATGCGACTCCATTCTACTAATTCAATTGAAAATGCAATCTCATTTTTAATCAATCCAGTCGTGAAAATGCGCGTCATTCAGCGGTACATGACCATAGGCATATTAAAAGGAAGTGGCCCCACCCCCAAAATTCGTTCATTTCCATTCGCTTGGTTATCGTCGCTATTCTCAACAACACTGAGCGCAACATTCAATAGACTTGAAATAATAGAAAGAACC